AGAATACACGCGCGTAGACATGAACTGGTACACGCTGACACGAAAAACCATACACTGATATAAGCTGGTCAGGAAGCAGCGAGTCAGTTGTCTAATGTGTATGTTGATACCTGACACACATTCTTCTCATCTAATGCATGCATTTCAACCGCACAGCGCGTAGTTTTTTGTTTTTCATAACCACAATTACTGTACAATCTATGTTCAATTTTTTTTTCTCTCTCTATGAATGCACAAGACCAGTTGGAGAAATAAGTTATTGACAGCCAAGTGATATCAATAAAAGTGTGGCATTTTATATATATATATACATCACTGAGGGAAACAAGGGAACACGTGAAAATACAAGTGCTCCTTTATTGTTTTCCAGGTTTTGTTCCCAGCTATGGATGTCAGTGTGGGTAAAAATCTGGGAATAATTAAAGGGACACTGCAATGAAATGGTGTTCCCTTATTTGTTTCCCTCAGTATATATATATATATATATATATATATATGAATCCAAGCTACATTCACAAACAGGATTATCGACAATCTAAAATGAGGTTCACTACATTTCCCTCATCACAACAACTATGTTCACAAAAGTAAAAAAATATGTTTTACGATCGTTACCATCTGGAAATGTTGTTCTGTGACTACTTAGGATATATGTGGTAGGCAGCAATACTTCAGCAATAACACAGCGTCCCGGGAAGTTGGTGATCACGTTCAAAAAAGTGTTGGCTTGTTACTGGCAAAAGGAGGAAGTATCGGTGTACCACACCATTGTGCAAAACTGCTTATACAGCTAGATCTGTAGATCGGAGATGATTTCCTTTCAAAATGATATGGTTTTCTTTAGGTTCAACACCGCAATGTTCCAGCTATATGGTGGCGGTCAGTACGTAATCGAGTATAGATCAGACAATCCAGTGATTGACAGGATGAGCATCGATCCACACAACTGAGATCCGACGACAAAGGAAGTTACCGAGCCTGACCACCCAATCTACTAAGTGCGTCTAAGGAGAAGCGTAGGTCACCGGGTCCCTTTATTCTCACCCGGTATCCCCGGAATATATTATTAAATATGTAGTGGGTCAAGTGTCGGATGAACGCGCGGGGGAAGTTCACTTGACTACTTCCCTTATCAGAAATTCTCCCCTTCTTCATCATACTTCCTGATCCAGAGTATAGCCTGTTAACGCTCACAACCCTCAAGTATACATGCATTTTGGGGTATTGGCTATAACAGCATCCGTTAGTTTCCCGGTATATGATGAGTGTGCAGTACATCAGTAATATTATTGTCAAAACTTAAATAGAGTTTTTTTCTTCTGATATCCATTCAATCCGGAAAACTCGCTCTTTCAGAGAAAAGGTGTTGGAAAACCTCGTTAACTCGAATCGCTTTAACTGGACATGTCGCTTTAAACGATTTAAAGACCTTGTTGGCATCAGTGTGTACTTGTACTTGTGTAAGTGTACTTCGTTTGTATCGAATCACGGATAGCTCAATACAATTCGACGGTCCACAGAACTTTGATGTAGAGGTTATAGCATCCTATGTGTCCACTTAGTATACAGTTATACGACTTAACGTTTCTTCTAAGTGAGTAGGGGCGGTCGGGTAGCCAAGTGTTTAAAGCGTTCGCTTGTCACGGCGAAGACCAGGGTTCGATTCCCGACATGGGTACAATGTTTGAGGCCCATTTCTGGTGTCCTCCGCCGTGATATTGCTGGAATATTGCTAAAAGCGGCGTTAAACCATACTCACTCACTCCATGTGATTGACACTATCAGGCGCATACACAACAGTTAATTCATGTAGGAGTCATCAAATCTGTCTGAACATACACACTGAATTCTAATCTGTATTTAGAAATGTAAAAAAGTCCTTCTAAGATGGATAACTTTTTAAATAGTGATTCATTAACACCTGCACATGATACAGTCGGAATCGTACAATCGACTTAAAAAGCAGTATATGTGTACTATTAAATACCTGTTGGTCCACTGAAGAAAGTATGCCTCCCCTATGTGAGTGAGTGAGTGAGTGAGTGAGGTTTGCGCCGATGTGAACAGTATTCCAATTATATTGAGGCGTGTCAGCTTAATGTGGGAGGAAATCCCGAAGTGATGCAAATCTCAGAAGTTTACCACTTCGGTGAAACCCACGAGCACGGGTATGGTGCTGACAAACCTAAAAACATAATCGGGGCAAACCAGGATTCGAACCCACGATCATAGGTTTCTGTTCAAGGGACGTTACTCTGCACAGCGGATTGTGGCGCCTTAGCCAACTGGGTCATCAGTGTCACCCCATTTTATGTTAGCTGTCTATAGGTTTCAGTTCAGACATAAACCACGTTATCATTACCGTACACCTGGTGTTTTGGCAGTAACGTGACCTAACAACATCAACTGACACTTAATGAAAGAATACTTGCTCACTACATATTTCTAACACAAGCACTCGAAATCCTGAAAGGTTCAGTTAAATAGTATTTAGACACTGGCGTTACAAGCATAATGGAGTAGTGGGTGCATTTCACAGGTTGTATATCGAATATAATCATGACCTTCCCTTAACTGTAATAGATCTAACCATCACCGTAACTTACAGATATACCTCGTTATCGTCCTCTTTAACTCGATATATCATATAAGATCATTTTGTTTTTGGCTCGCAAAACCTGAATATAATAACATGTTTAGTTCATCTCATGACCAGACAAAGATGTCATGTTCCCTCGTGGCTGTTTATCTCACCCCGTGACATGACAAATTAACATGTTCTCATGTAAATATCAACCATGTCAGGTCACTAGTTGAGATAAATATGTAACTTGAATGTTACAGACAAATAAATATCCCCTAAACATTTTCGAGCGTACAATATTTTGACAGCTCTTTATTGACGTTGCACAGTCGGAAAGGGGAGCAACTCGTACGAACTCTGCATATGCTAATTTCAGTCGCTTGTCAGTCTACTGGAGCCCCGGCCGCCCTCTAAAACCGTGCTAACGGTAGTCGCTCAATGTCAGTCACAGTTACCGACAGAAAAGTATAAGGGGAGCAACTCTGTGTACCATGTGTTCGCGAAAAGTGTAAACATGTCCTGATCGACCGATAGCACTCGCTATTCAACCATCAAGTCTATTACAGTATCATGACAATGCAGTGATGGCGAGTCCGGACCAGACAATCTAAAAGTTAAAGTAAAAGAAAAGTAAAGTTTAAAAAGTGAAGTAATTGTCATCGATACAACATGCTCGTTAGTATCTTACCCAAATGCTCCTATGCCATTCAGGGCATTGGGGTAGCCTAGTAGGTAAAGCTTTCGCTCGTCACAACGAACACCAAGGTTCGATTCCCGACATTGGTACAATGTTTTAGGCCCATTTCTGGTGTCCTCCGCCGTGAAATTACTGGAATATTGCTAAAAGCGGCGTAAAACCATACTTACTCACTCCATGTGATTAAGAGTATCAGGCGCATACACAACAGTTAATTCATGTAGGAGTCATCAAACCTGTCTGAACATACACACTGAATTCTAATCTGTATTTAGAAATGTAAAAAAGTCCTTCTAAGATGGATAACTTTTTAAATAGTGATTCATTAACACCTGCACATGATACAGTCGGAATCGTACAATCGACTTAAAAAGCAGTATATGTGTACTATTAAATACCTGTTGGTCCACTGAAGAAAGTATGCCTCTTCTATGTGAGTGAGTGAGTGAGTGAGTGAGGTTTGCGCCGCTGTGAACAGTATTCCAGTTATATTGAGGGTGTCAGCTTCTTATGGAAGGAAATCCCGAAGTGATGCAGGTCTCGGACGTTTACCACATTGGTGAAACCCACGAGAAGGGTATGGTGCTGACAAACCTAAAAACATAATCGGGGCGACCCAGGATTCGAACCCACGATCATAGGTTTCTGTTCAAGGGACGAAACTTTGCACAGCGGGTTATGGCGCCTTAGCCTAGTGGGTCATCAGTGTCACCCCATTTTATGTTAGCTGTCTATAGGTTTCAGTTCAGACATAAACCACGTCATCATTACCGTACACCTGGTGTTTTGGCAGTAACGTGACCTAACAACAGCAACTGACACTTAATGAAAGAATACTTGCTCACTACATATTTCAAACACAAGCACACGAAATCCTGAAAGGTTCAGTTAAATAGTATTTATACACTGGCGTTACAAGCATAATGGAGTAGTGGGTGCATTGCACAGGTTGTATATGGAATATTATCATGACCTTCCCTTAACTGTAATAAATCTAACCATCACCGTAACTTACAGATATACCTCGTTATCGTCCTCTTTAACTCGATATATCATAAACCTGAATATAATAACATGTTTAGTTCATCTCATGACCAGACAAAGATGTCATGTTCCCTCGTGGTTTTTTATCTCACCCCGTGACATGACAAATTAACATGTTCTCATGTAAATATCAACCATGTCAGGTCACTAGTTGAGATAAATATGTAACTTGAATGTTACAGACAAATAAATATCCCCTAAACATTTTCGAGCGTACAATATTTTGACAGCTCTTTATTGACGTTGCACAGTCGGAAAGGGGAGCAACTCGTACGAGCTCAGCATATGCTAATTTCAGTCGCTTGTCAGTCTACTGGAGCCCCGGCCGCCCTCTAAAACCGTGCTAACGGTAGTCGCTCAATGTCAGTCACAGTTACCGACAGAAAAGTATAAGGGGAGCAACTCTGTGTACCATGTGTTCGCGAAAAGTGTAAACATGTCCTGATCGACCGATAGCACTCGCTATTCAACCATCAAGTCTATTACAGTATCATGACAATGCAGTGATGGCGAGTCAGGACCAGACAATCTAAAAGTTAGAGTAAAAGAAAAGTAAAGTTAAATAAGTGAAGTAATTGTCACCCGTCCCCTGCCGAGATATAGGAATATTGCTAAAAGCGGCGTAAAACTATACCCACTCAGTCACTATGCTATTCAAAGAATAAACATACGGTAAATACAAGAAGTAGTTTTATTTTCTGTCAGCATCCCCCCACTCCATAACACTTTATATCATTGTTACCTTCCATCAAATAGCAATCACGTTCTTACATATAAAGCAAATATACATGAATATATAATGACACACAATGCATAACATACTTATGCACTCACTTCCTGCATTCTACTATGTCCTCGAGGGTACTGGCGGGGCGCCGTGATTCACTGTGTCGAATGCGTCCCTTTATCGTGCATAGATGCTCACATCATTTGTTCGTGTCTCAGATGCATCACCTTTATAAATGGTTTGGTAGCACCAAAAATAAGTTTGGTTTATTTTTCCAAAGTGGTAAACAAATACAACCTGCCTCGCTGTTACACATTACACAAGCAATGTAATTTAGCTGACAAAATGTTCAAAGTGGCGTTTAACTCACTCACTCACTACTATCAGCGCATATTTGTAAAAATGATACAAAAAAACAAAACAAACTAATTGATATAGTTCAGTTATTTGAAAGATATAAGCTAGTTAATACATATCTAATCGGTGGACTTTGCAGTTATATATATCATATTTGACTTGTAGATATAATACAAACTACGCGATTTTTGAAGTTTCTTAAATATCATACATAAAGTGAATTTAACAATACTAACTCTGGTCAATATGGTAAATCCTAACTGTGAATAATAGTCAAAATTGGAAATTCATGTTTCTATTCATTGATGAAAAATAGCTTTGTTTTTAAAACATATTTACATATTTTGGTATAAAAAAATCAAGAAAAAATAATACTTGAAATATGTACACGTTTGTCGGGATAGGCTTATATGATTCCGATAGGAACATAGGACTCTGAAACTAAACAGGAATGAATAACAATTCAGTGATGTAGAAGAAGGCTGAACATGATCTCCACAACCTTTAAAAATACAAGGGTGTTATTTTCATTAAAAATATATACACTCTAGAACAATAACCACTTTACTTTCAGTATCAACACAAACCACGTTTCACAAGTTTACATATGGACTCCAGTTTTGAGTTGATGAAATATTTGCCTGTCATGAAGTACGGATTTGTTAATTAATGGTATTTAAAAACATAACAACATATTTTCTATGCTGCTATTAACATTATTCCGGAAATATCATATTGAGTCACTTAAGAACAGATTAAATATATAACGTCAACACGAGAGAATAACCACTCTGGATTCCACTGTGGCCTAAAGGGCACATCCCGAGAAATGATTGTTTTTTTATCAGAAACCGCCACCCGGCTGAGTTTTCTAATGTCAGCAGTTTGTATAATTAAAAACTGCAACGATTTTATGCATGTATGTCATCATGATAATAAGATTGTTCTGTTGTTTCCTTAAATGAATTGGAAAGTTCAGTCCAAATGTAGTCAAGTGTCAGTATGTATACATCCCCTTGTTTGTTGAATCTAAATGTCATCTTCGGAAGATGGAGGATCTGGTTTCCTTGGCATTGGTTGCCCGGCTTCTGAAGAAGGAGGATCCGGTTTCCTTGGCATTGGTTGCCCGGGTAACCTCATTGCAAGCTTCTCCTGGAGCTGCTTCGTAACTTGTGAAAATGCCATCACATTGATTGCAGTAGGGCCAGGCTTGGGTTTTGCAGGTGTTTGCGAAGTAAGTTTCGAATCCTTTCTTGGAGGTGGTGGTGGTGGACCGCCTTTGCCCGCTAGTTTCAGTGATGAGGAAGTTGGCCGTTGACCAGTGTTTTGATACTCTCCTTCAAAGCTTTGCAGATCATCGCTAGATGTAGAGCCTCGACTGTCTGAAAACGAACTATCTCTGTCACAGAACTTCTGATCAGCTGGCTTTGATTTGATAGGTTGTGATGGTATCGAGGGTGCTGCATGGTATGTTTGTGACTTATCTGGCAATGGCAGTGGTGGTAGTGGGCGTTTCTGTATTGGTATCGTATCATTTGTAGACAATTCACTTTGAAGCCCAGAACTGCGTGGGGAAGGAAGGGATGGGTAGTCTGTCACATCAGGTTGGTTTGATGGTTTATCCTTTTCTTTGAAGTTACCAGGACTCTTGGAAAATTTTGGTATTGGTGGAAAGGACAAGTCTTCTTTCTTAACACCCTTCTCCGGCAATCCAAGTAGTTTGTCTTTATTTTCAAAGGTATCTGATAATCTTGGTATTGGTGGAAAAAATGTGTCATCAATCTTAGGCGTTCCATGACGTGAACGGCGAGTATCCGAGAGATTCCGTGAAAGTTTGCTGGTTTTCGATTTTGATTGCAGTCGTGGAAGCGAAGCTGTTCCAGCTGGATTCACGTGTCCACGAGTATCAGAGGACTGCTTATTCAGGGACTCAGTGTTAATGCTTGTTAATTCATCATATCCTGAGGACTGGGATGTTCTAGAAGCACGTCCGAAATTAGTACCATGTGTCGTGGTAGTTTCTTTGGATATTGGGTGCACCTCGAGCAAGTTTCTTGAAAGAGGCAAAGTTTTCGTTTTAGAAGACAAGCGTGGCATAGCAAATTGTCCTGCTGATCGTGACTGATCATCAAATGGGTCAATATTATTCTTGGAGGAAAAGTTATTACTGATCATGTCAATGATATTTTGTGACATTTCCTGGATATTTGGCACAGCACCTTCCAATATAGGATGGGCAATATCCTCTTCGGGTATGAACATCCCCTCTGTTTCCTCCAAGGAGACACCCGAGCCTGCAGATGCATAGATGGACCCAAGGTCCACATCTGCAACAGGTTGCATGTTGAGCCAGGAGGTTCTGAGGAGTGTAGACATTGAAGATTGACGAGTTTTCCCATCGGATGTTTCTCGAAGGAGAACATCGTCCCCCTCTTCTGGATTAGGTCGATTGAGCACAATATCCATGTTCTCGTCTTCATCGGGTACGAATACGTCTGCTTTGTTAGTATTGGATAGGTACGCCATTTTGCTAGTTTCAAATGTAGAAGCGGTGCTGTCTCCTCGAGAATCGTCTACAGGAACGTAATCATTTGTCAGATTTGAACTAACACTTCCTCGTGCCAGGGCTCCTTTGTAGCTCGATTTAAAACGATTACCACTTTTACGCCATCCACGACCAATCTTCTTCAGGAGGATTCCGCTCAATGTTGAACATTTCTTAGGGGGCTGAGGCCTACCAGTTACTGTAGTGTCTGCTACTGTTTTAATAGGCTCCTCACAACCTGTTGCACCGCAAGTAACATCTGACACGGGCCGGACTGCACCTAAATCTTCATACGAATGGTCGTCACTGTCACCGTCACTGTCACTGTAACTCGATGATGAGTCTGAGTTCCGGCTTCTCTTCTTCTTTCTTAAAGGAATAGGATCTCCCTCGTTCTGGTAGATAGCAGCAATGTCCAATATGCTGAAAGATAGGTCAGACAGACTGTTGCCTCGTTCGCACCGTCTCCTTTGAAAACATTGAAACATAATTCATCTTTAAAAAAACAAACAAATATGAAACATTACGTTTCAGTACATATGTCACTAGGTAATAATTAATTTATTTTTTAAATTATACCGATATGTACCGATATACATATACACATATGGTGATTAGATTAGGATAGGTCCCAGTAACCTATCCATGTTCGAGACGACTAAAATGATTGAGTGGTGATCTCTATGGTTGTGTGTAATTATACCCCGCCATTGGGCATTTCACAACAAACAATCGAATTTTCACAGAATCCCTTCATGAAAGAAAAACAAAATAATTATATGTGTGTAATAATCGAGTCTCGACTGAAAAATCCAGTGATTGACATCATGAACATTGATCTGCGCTTCTGGGATACCATGACATGCATCAACCAAGGAATCGATCCTTACCACCCGATCCCGTTAGTCGCCTCTTACGACAAGCATGGCTTGCTGGAGACCAATGGTATCCCGGATTCTCCAATAACAACATATTTCCAATATTTTTCTGGAACATTATTTCTTTCCAAAAGTTCAAGCCCGTGCAGAAAATCTTTTATCTTATGAAATGCTTTCTGTACTTACTTGGCGAACAATAGGACAACCGATATGAAGAGTAGAAGCAGGATATATGCGCCAATAAAACCCAGCGATGTATATACTGGAAAAAAGAATAAACAGAAACATACGCGTGTTTAGATACAGTCTGAATCGTACAATCGACTCTGCTTTCAGGGTCAGGGAAAGGGTTTTGTTGCTTTATTAATTTGCACTGCCACTTAATAACACTATTTAATTCGAAATTACTTATATATCCGAATGGTCAAAATATCCTTATGATTAATCGCAGTTTAGAAACAAGAGATATTTGTAACTTCCCTCAGTTGCTTAAGATAAAAAACAAAAATGAAACAAACAAAGATGATTCTTATGATGAGTTTATGATTTTTCTTTTCACACAGAATGAATATAATACAAAAACCTTGGAACAATATCCCGTCAACTTGTAATTTTAACCGTGAAATTGATCACCCCCAAAGATATATGAGTTTCTGGATTGCCGCAGAAACACCAAAGTCGTACTTATTGATGTTGATGGTGGATTCTCAGATTGTCTGGAGGCGATATCTGGATTAATACGGTTCCTAACTTTAATTCAGATTTGTTCTTAACCAGCAGACCATGCTCTCAAAAATGACAATGTTTATCTTTTCGAGATCCTTAGATACCTTATTCAGGTAGTCCAGTTATATCTCGACGCGTCAGCTTCTTGCGGGAGGAAAGACAAAAGTGATGCAGCTCTTGGACGTTACCACTTTGGTGAAACCCACGCGCACTCGTATGATGCTGATAAACCTGGAAACATAATCGGGGCGAACCCCCATCATAGGTTTCTAGCGTGCCCGAACTATTCATCTCTGCACAGCGAAATGCGCGCTTAGACGACTGGGCCACCTGTGTCCCGCCGAAGTAAGAAGTTTGCACTGTATATTATTGAACACTCGTGAACATCACACTGAATGGTAATTGTAATTTGAAAATATTATTAAGTAACACTTTCCCAAACCATCCAAAGCCCGCCACATTGTCACTTGGTCATGAACAGCTATGCTACACAGAACACTGAATAATGCGAACCGAACTTGATGAAACAACATATACGACAATGCGAAATCCAAATCATGTTTAGTTTCGTTAACACAGTGTGCTACATGCCACTTTATAGATGAACATGCACAAGCACTAGACTGATTGACCATGATTAACATTTGGATAACTGTCACCCAAAACTATTTCTAGACTCTAAGTTTTGCGGGTACTTTAAATACATACATACCCCAGGTCATATCTTTAAAGGATTAGGTATCCTAACACGTCCGCCGGTCATCTTCACTAAGGTTAGTGTATGCGGCATCAAGGTTGTGATTTCTTATTCAGTTCAGTTTTAATCATATGTAGCGTTAATTTATTTCCTTCTTGAAATGAGTGTTACCGTTCACATTCCGCCTTACAGGGAAATAGAGCATTTATGTTAACGCGACATATAGTGAGTTCTGGGTTAGAGTAGGTCTTCAGCAATCGTTAGAGGCGACTGAGGAGATCGAGTGGTCAGGCTTTCTGACTTAATCGATGCTCATGATATCAATCACTGGATTGTCAGTCGCTATATGGCTGAAATAATGCCGATGCGACGTTAAATTTAACCCACTTTCTGGATTGTCTGGTCCAGACTCGATTGTTTACAGACCACCGTCATATAACTTGAAAATTGTCGAGTGCGGCAACAAACATACAAGCGGATGTATAGATGAAATGAAAGTTCACGTTTTCTTTAAAATGTTACTTTTAGATATAACTTAGCAAAAGTCTTCAGAAGTTAGGTACCGATTTTGAAAAAGGTTTAAGATACAATGTACGCCAGTAGGTAGGTAGTGCGACAAAAGCTAATATGATATTACTTTCATTGAGATGATCAATAGGTTTGATCCTGGAGGACAAAGGGTAGTTTTTTTCAAGGTTTGACACGGACATGTTTAAGAAGTTAAAGTCAAGTTTTGGGAGAAATTCATCCATTTGTTGTGTCACACTGAACGGCCAACATGTTTGGTGTTTTCAGCCATTGGACAATTTCCTTATGTAATGTTCGCCTCCTAACTCGATGCTGTGTCACGGGTCAAGGAACTAATCTAAATCGAAACTGTCGCATTAATACTTTGACATGTGAAAGTGTATGTGCGAGAAGGACAGAATTAATGTTTAAAACGAAATGATATTGGTGGATAAACGTTATGTTCTTACAATATTATGTTACGCCTTTATACAATGCTTGACTATTAGACTTCAATGAATGCACACAAAAATATTCCTTAAATAAGACTGCATATGACCAGGTATAGGATTTGTTTGTTGTTGTATAACGCCGCACTCAGTAATATTCCTGCTATATGACGGCTGTCTGTAAATAATCGAATCTGGACCAGACAACCCAGTGATTGATAACATGAGCATCGATCCACTGAAACTGAAATAATTACAAACTATCAACTTTATAACAGCAACGTGTATTGTAGATATCCCTTACATAATTCGCATGACAATATTCGTAGTCCTGATCGTTGCATGTTTTATGAATAAGTAATAATATATGAACTAAAAGAATGAAGTCTATTGGAGGTCAGGTGAAATGGGGTTTAACGTCGCGTCCAAGATTATTGCACTTATATAGCGACGTGCATGCACGTGTATGTGTTTGTGTGGCTGCTTGTACTAGTCCGGACTGATGCCGATTTATAGTGCTAGCTCACTGGGTCACCATGCCGCAGTTTAACATGAATATCCCACTCAGACACAGTATACTGACACTGAGCCGACAAGTCCTTGTTTTAGCCTCATAATGCCGAGCGCCAGACAGGGTAACAACAAGTACCATCTTTTAACGTCTTTTGGTATGACGCGGCCGCTCTCCGGGCGGACGCTCTACCACTAGACCACGGAGGCGGTCGAAGTCTATTGGAAATATGTATACTCGATGTATATTCGGTGAATATCAGTACTAAATGAAAATCGCTGAACAGAAACATACAAGTTCATGAAGGAAGATTCAACAAACAATATGACGTAAATGTTTTTTACTTACAAACTCTGTTCATGTAAGAAAAGATCAAAGAAACGCAACCAACCAAATATCGCATTGCATTGCATTTTCTTTTTGCAAGAGATATTGCTTCAAATGTTATTCATAAAGAGCCAGATATCCAATCCCATATTATTAACACTCTTAGCAAACATCGGTTGTGCAGAGTTCAGAAAAGCACCTCTTTTGATCGTTTTGATGAGATTGCACCATGCCGTGTCTCAGTGACCATGCTCAACAGGACAACCACGTCATAGACCGTCCCCGTAGTGGTCGCTCGCCTGTGACAACCCCTTGTATAGACATATGGATTCGAACCACGACCCGGCGACACAGGTCCCAGACATCGGCTACCACAGCCTGTGTCATCCCTGGCAACAGTGGCGTATGTATGAGAACAGTCCGACGACGTCCACGCATCTCAATGTCATCCGAGCTGGGCGCCCAGAAAGAAGGCAAATCTTGACGGCAGTAGATCAACGCTGACGTCTCCAGTGGTGCATAGCATTAGTGGAGGATAGCACATCAAGGAGAAGGGTCGTCTTCACCGATGAGTCACGTCTTCTTCCTCACCAAAACTGGACACGTGTCTACAGGCGTCTAGGTGAACGTGACTTCACGCCTTGTCTTCTTGAAGGCGATCACTTTTTTTAATGTGGTGGCGTTATGACTGCCTCAATATTTTGACCTTCATAATATGTTCATGTGTTATTTTCAGATGAGTGAGTGAGTCAGTGAATATGGTTTTACGCCGCTTTTAGCAATATTCCAGCAATATCACGGCGGGGGACACCAGAAAGGGGCTTCACACATTGTACCCATGTCGGGAAGCGAAACCCGGGTCTTCGGCGTGACGAGCGAACGCTTTAACCAATAGGCTACCCGACCGCCCCTTTTTTTCAGATGAACATTTGACTTCCTTTGATGTATTTATGACGCGTGCCACCGGTGGGGCAGGCTAGCTCACATATTTGTTAACACCTGTTGTCATCACTGTTTGATAGCGATTCAAAAACACATGCTTATGATATAATCGGAAACAGACAATGGACTAATTTTAGTAGTAGAAATTTCTAATGATTATGGACATGGTTTTTGTGACTTTTATTCCAGCATGATAACGCCAGACCACATGTTACTAGATTTGTGCAGACGTATCTGACTGAGAACAATGCTAATTAATGTGTTATCTTGGTCTGCAAGACGTCCAAATATGTCACCAATGGAATACAGTTAACTACGTTTTTAACGAACACGCTTATAACGAACTGACTGATAAACCGAACTTTTTTTGGTCCCGGCCATTTGATGTATATATGCTGTATACGTGTATAGTATTCATAACGAACTACGATTATAACGAACTACAATTAGTGGTCCATTTGAGTTCGGTATTACCGTAGTTTATTGTATGTTTGAGATGAAATTAAACGACGTTTGCGACATCTTGCAGGAACGTTGCGGATATTGTCGTTCCGAGCCCTCTCTTTAGCCTCAGTGTGGCGGGGTTGTCAGACTTGCATCGGCGCACGGGTGGACACACTTGTTACTGACTGAACTTGCCTCTGAACCCCCTCTAGTGACATGATTCGTTTGCACAAAGCAGGCGTGCTTTCCATGTTGTCTGTTGCTCGTTATCTTACCTTTGCCTGTGAGAACATATCAACATATCTTATATTGTTAAAAGGAGTGAAGGGTGGCTTTTTTGTTTGGTTGTTTGTTGTTTAACGCCGCACAAGCAATATTCCAGCTGTATGACAGCGGTCTGTAAATAATCGAGTCTGGACATCTGGTTATGAGCATCGATCTTTGAAACTGGAATACGATGACATGCATCAACCTTGTCAGCAAGCCTGACCACCCATTCCCGTTAGTCGCCTCTTACGACAAGTATGGGTTGCTGAAGACCAATTCGTAATTAGACATAGTTGCAATCCGAAACGGTTTCATCAGCGCGTCTGGGAGTTTGAAACACTAGCTTTAGACATTATTTTCAATCCTATAATGACAAAGTAGGACCATGTTTCCAGTTGTGGAATAAAATAATGTTCAAACCAAGACAAATCCCCATCCTCAGCACAGCAACATTTTTGAGAATGTACCAATGACGATCTCTCCAGATCCAAAATCAAGATCACTCCAAGAAGTTTTATCATTTTTCTTTAGATTTTTTTTCATCTACGTGTATCTGTTTATCTGTTTACAATTATATGCATATGACCCTTCTGCATCCGTAGAGATGCTATCTGATAGTGATTCATGAACACAAGCTCATGATTAAAGTCGGATTTTTAGTACAGATGTCCGTGTGCCCTCAATGACATCCACCTCAGTGGAGAGTTTTTGCATGTGTGGACGGTGGACGTGGTTCGGAGTATTTTTAGCTTCAACAAAGTCAGTGGATGCGCTGCCGCGTCACCGGACTCCCGGTCCATCGATCACAATCGATATGTCCCCGTCACCTGCATACACGTCAAAGCAAGGAACGCATCACTGAGTGGCACAACCTAATTGGGCGTACTCGCATAACTGTAATTGCCTCAATATTTCAACGAGGTCAGCAGGGAAAGTCAAGTTGTACCAAGGATGTTACAAATAACGTTCACATTGTCAATACCTGTTTCCTTGAATCATGAAAACTGAAACCACAGGCAACATGTGCCGTTTCCTTACAAAATATTGGATTGTGTCCGACTCTCATTTTCACGCATCATCTCTTCCACAACATAGTTGTGGTGTAAATACAGGTTGAAATAAGTGCTGTGGAAGTAAGTACCTTGTCATATACAAACTCAATTTCTATTATTATTTCTCTGTGACCAATATGCTTATAATATGCAGTATTTCATGCTTACATCATTATTCATTATTGATAAACACATGTATATGGAATACAACTAAGAATGATTATAAATGCATCTGATTAAACCGCAGCAAGGGTACGAAACAAGATATGTTTATATTCAGGGGCCATTTACTCGCCCCGCCCCTCACTGAGTGAGTGAGTGAGTATGGTTTTACGCCGCTATAAGCATTTTCCAGCAATATCACGGCGGGGGACACCAGAAATGGGCTTCACACATTGTACCCATGTCGGGAATCGAACCCGGGTCTTCGGCGTGACGACCGAACGCTTTAACCACTAGGCTACCCGACCGCCCCTGCCCCTCACTGAGATGCAAAACGAACATTTTTCTCTCAAGGTCTTTTCTGTACTTATAAGCAGCAGAACTTCTGTACACGACAGAACAAATTAAAAATGAATTTTTTTTTTCTTTCAACAAAATCAGTAAATGCGCTGTCGTGTGACTGGATTTCCGTTGCATGGCATAAGTACTACTGTACTACTGTGCGGCGTCAGGCAACTAACACATACATTTTTAAGCAAATTGCATGAGTGGCGGGTGCAACCGGGAGGGGAGGACTGCTTCCCCTTATCGCGGACACCTTTTGTCATCATTGATTTTAACCGATCCATCATATCATTTCCCTCACTATTTTGCCTTTCACGCCGCAGAGTTGCGTCCCTTGGCCACGCCAGAAACCTATGATTGTGGGTTCGAATCCCGGTTCGCCCCGATTATGAAGTGGTAAACGTCTGAGACCTGCATCACTTCGGGCTTTCTCCCACATTAAGCTGACACGCCGTGATATGACTGGAATACTGTTAAAAGTGGCGTAAAACCCAAACTCACTCACTCACTCACTGACGCCGAATGGAATCTGTTTCGTCGGATAATCGAGGATGATTTTTCTCTGGTGTTGACGATATATGTTCCATCAATATTTAGAAATAATATTGTGTGATTCCCGTTTATTACTTTCATCATGTCATGGTATTATAAGGTCATGTCAGACATGTAGTTCCTACGTCATAATGAAACAGAGATTGGTCAAGTCTAATGATAATGGTCAATGCTTATAATAGCTGCCTATAAGCATCCTTCCTTAGTATGGTCCATTCTCATAAGACCGCATCCGTGGTCAAGTGGTAGAGCGTCCGCCCGGAAAGCGGAAGGTCTGGGGTTCGACTCAGGACGTGTCATACCAAAAGACGTTAAAAGATGGTACCCTGTCTGGCGCTCTTCATTAAGGGGCTAAAACAAGGACTGGTCGGCTCGGAGTCAGTATACTGTGTCTGAGTGGGGTATTCATGTTAAACTGCGGTATGGTATCTTAGTGTGCTAGCACTATAAATCGTCATCAGTCCGGACTAGAGCATGCACCTTACAAGCAGCACACAGGTTCATGCTCGTCGCTATATAAGTGCAATAATCATTGACGCGACGTTAAACACCATTTCACCTCACCTCACCTCACCTCACCTCACCTCACCGCCATTCCCATAATATTCACGTACTATCGGTCTCTGCATAATCCATTTGAAGAATCCACTTTTATCCTTTATTGTGCAATCTTCCTGCTTGCATACATCCGTGGTATTAACCTAAATAATCTACTTTTATTATCACTAGCTATCCTCACAGTTCGTGTAATCTTGACGCGTTATACCATTTAACTTCATAGAAAATATGATTTTTAAAAAGGATACTGAGTTCAAGGTTCTACTATAATGGAACAGCTGATGATGAGTTATGAATATAATCAATTTGGGTTCCTTAACACCGAGTCAATAATACAGCAAATGATCAAATATGTGTTCATCAGCTACCACGAATCCCCTTCCTGTTATAATAATTTGTGCTGTTCAATAATAATAACACCTCTACTGCCCACTTGCGTGCCAAACACTGTGCTTTTTATAAAGTCATTTTCAAATTCATCAACAGTGTCGCCCTTACCAACAAGTACAGTTAAACCCGAAACAGGTAAGAATGATGTCGCTTTTAACTTACTATTGTTTTACGTCGTTATTTTATAATTGTCTAAGAAATCGCTAAATAGAGGGTTAAACATGTGAGCAAATGTAATGGACATTTATTTCAAATCATACTTTGATATTTACTAACGAAAAAAAGTAACTATGCTTCATATCAATTTCAATAAGAATAAGTTTATTCTGAAATAAATAATGCATCTTTTAATACATATTCATGAAGACAGCCGTGTGTGGATCGATGTTCATGCTGTCAATCACTGGATTGTCTGGTCCAGACTCGATTATTTACAGACCGCCGTCATATAGCTGGAATATTGCTGAGTGCGGCGTTAAACAACAAACAAACAAACATGGCGCACAATTTGGATGTTTGCGTGGTTGTTGGGAGCATGAGACTAACACACCTTGTTTATTTAATGTGACAGCAAGCAATGATTGTTTACTTATCATGTGCTCATAAAAACACTTTTGTTTATCCGTAAATAACGCTTACGCAACGCCTCGGTTTCCTGGGAGTGAACGTCTACGTGCCGTAGGTATACTGCGTACAGGAACTGCTCAAAATGAAGTATCCAGACATTTTAATGTTCATCGAAATACAATATCATCTCTTAGGAGACGTCATCTACAGCAAGGCAACACTCATGACTTGCGACGTGCTAGTCGTCCCCGTGTGTGGGGCGGTCTGGTAGCCTAGTGGTTAAAGCGTCATCCCTCTTGTCATACAGTCTTGTGAAGAGTGTTAAAGTCGCTTCATATGAACTCTATTAAAACTACACGTAACTAGTTTTCCGCTCCTTCTACGAGGGAAGACACACTGTGAGCAGGGTACGCTCGCACACATTGTGTCATTGGGGCGATAGGGTAGCCTAGTGGTTAAAGCGTTCGCACGTCACGCCGAAGACCTGGGTTTCGATTCCCAACAAGGGTAAAATGTGTGAAACCCATTTCTGGTATCCCTTGCCATGACATTACTGGAATATTGCTAAAAGCGGCGTAACTCCATACCCACTCACTCGTCTCCGTGTGACATCACGTCAACAAGACGACCATCGACACTTAAATTACCAAACTGTCCCATTAACAGCTCAGACAATTCCTGGGTTAAGGCCACTTAGTGGAAGAACCGTACGCAATCGGTTGAGGGAGCACAACATCCGACTCCGACGTCCAGCGATACGCCCAATTTTGCTTCCACGTCACCGTCAGTCACGCACAGCTTGGTGTAATCAGCATGTGAGGTTCAGAGTGAGAAAGTGAGTTAAAATTTAAAATCACATCCGCAATTTTTCAACCATATATTGACTGGAACATGTTAATGATAATACATTTAGTCGATATAAAACCTGTCGCCAATGGACAGTAAAACAACTAGAGTATCACTGATTTGTAATTAAAAGTATCATTGGGCGATAAAATGGATGACTGTACATAACAACACAAGATAAAAACGGGCTATAGATCAGCAACTAGAGTTGAGCCACCACACGAGGGGCCATGGGGACTCTGCTAGTGGGGTTCAGAAGACAGGACCGGGACACGATACTGTTCTCAGATGAGTCCATGTTTCATCACTCGAGGCAGTAAACATGGCTGTACTGGCATGGTCGGCTGTTTTCCAAACCTTACCCCCCATGGAACATGTCTGAAATGAAAAGGAACGACGATTACGATATGATCAGTACGGCAGGTAACGCAAGCTCAGTTGGATCAATCTGTGGTTGACTATATCCGGGCTCTTTTCGAACATCGTGTGCATCTTCATTGCGCCGCAACTTGCTCGCCTGTGTCAACGCAAATGATGGCCACACCCGATAGTGACATTGTTAATAGAGTTGATAAACTACCACTCTTTCAGGGCGTGTCGCTATTTCTCCCGTGACGTGGTATGGGTTTTGTCGATGAAGTTAACATTTTATAATTTGCACCATTTTATGTGATATATAAACCACAGTTACTTTTTTCCGTTTGTACTTATATTTTTAGGTGGGTGGTAATATATATTTAATAGGTATATTTATTTTCATTTCCAGATGTTAACCTCATATTTGCGTGGACAATTGCTGGGATTGGAATGGTCCTTGCCTGTCTTTTCCTAGTACTATTTTTATACATGAAATGGTAAGTATATCGGGTTTGAATAACTTTCAAAATGGTTCATGAGTTTTCATGAAATAGGTTTGGCCTTAGGGGCATCTCAGAATGACATTCGCACACTGAGAATATTACTAAGAAAGAGACAAACGTTTTAAATAGGTTATTTTAATGTAAAAATAGGTGACAAGCCATTTCAGTTTTTGTTTGTTATTTCTCTAGGTTGGTGGTTATAATAAAAGTCCTATTTATTATTTATTTATTTATTATTCCAGTAAAGATTCGTGTCGTGGATGTTCAAGATTGGTATCTGCGTCTCCATCAGATATCGCTTCCATCTACAGACAGAATAATCGAGTGGACTGTGATCACGAGTATGAGCGTATAACTTTACAAGACCAAGTCGAGGAGAACGAGTCTGTGTGCAACAGCGAACAATCACCAACAGATAGGCGTCCTGGTGGGGAAAGAGCAGAAGACTATATTAATCCTCGAGCTTCATCTTCAACAGACCATGTCTTGGATGATGCTAGGATATCTAGGTTATCCCATCTTCTGAGTACATCGTTCTGGAGTGAAACGAAATCGGAGGGTTTTTTGGAATCTAAGAGCATTCCAACGCGTGGAAGCTATGGACAAAAGAGAACTCAGAGTTGCCGCAAGGTAAAGTCAGATGACGTATGTTCGGATTCTCTTACTGCGGGGCACTTTGTACCAGACTCAGGGGAGTTTCGTGCACAGAGATTCCCTGCAGGAATAGCAGAAACCAAGTCGCCTGTCACGGACAGCATGGTGGACATTTTTCAAGAAATCTTCAAACCTTCCAACAGCAATCTTAGAAGCCTGCTTCTCAAAACAGTTCGGCCCACAACAGAAACAAATGAGAGCCTGTCCCGACGTCTCTCAAAATCGGAGACAGATGTCAACATGGCCAAACTTTCAGAAGCCTTTGGCGATATTTGGAACGATCCTTTTGCAGACCGACAAATCAAACCAAATGCAGATGATGATCATTATGTTGCTGTAGCCGATATCAGAATAACACCTAAACCAAAACAACGGAAATCTTTGTCTAGGAAAGGACGCAGCCTTGATGCTAAACAAACGGAGTCGGAACTCGACATCCAGAACAGAAAATTGCCCGACATAAGTGTCTTACAATGTAACACAATCCCATGCTCCCTAGATAAAAGGGTACCTGTTCCTCTTCCGAGATGCAAACCTATGAACCCCAGTCAGTATCAACCATGCAGCATCTTAAAGACTTCCTGTAACAAGATAGAAGGGGATGAATCTGTCCAAGACGGGACGACAGAGGCAAACCTACGAGCACCTTCGATGCCTCTTGACAATTTGGATCAAAATCAATGTCCAAGAAGCAACAATGCTCAACAAGTCGATCCACCAGGTTATGGGTCGTTAAGGCGGAGCGTTCAAAAGGTAAAGAAGGCTATATGTTTAGATGGACATGCAAAAACAGGAAAGGAACATTTGAACGTTAGGATGGTCGTGACGGATTTGGCATGCTCTGCTGAAAATGTCGGATTGGATTCCGAATTCTGGAGCTCTTGAGTTATATATTTTCACTTCGTTGATATCCATGGGTAGAATAGGTCCTCCGTATCCATAACTGACCCTTTTCGCGAACACCTGTTCGCCGCTGTTTTGTATTTCAGCTCAATGGTTTTTGTTTCGTCGACCAATGAGGAACAGGTGGTCATACTATTTTGTTTTGTTTTTGGTTTGGTTTGGTTTGTTGTTTAACGCCGCACTCAGCAATATTCCAGCAATATGACGGCGGTCTGTAAATAATCGAGTCTGGACCAGACAATCCAGTGATTGATATCATGAGCATCGATCCACGCAATTGGGATCGATGACATGTATCAACCAAGTCAGCGAGCCTGACCACCCGACCCCGTTAGTCGCCTTTTACGACAAGCATAGTCACCTTTTACGGCAAGCATGGGTTGCTGAAGACCTATTCTACCCCGGAATCATACTATTTTGGACATGGATGATTGTGTTTGATTTTGCCACGTAGATCGTTAGTCGTACGTTTTACCTGCCTTCCGCGATAGGGCTGAAACACTGCTAACCACATCACTTTTTATAGTGCTTCATAAACACGCGCTCATGATATAATCGGAGTCATTCAGTAGACTATGCTTTCAGAAGATATGTCTTATCTTTATTGAAATACGAATAGCTCTGTCGCTTTTATATCACACGTTTTTAATATATAACAGTGTATATGTGAAACATAGCATTGATGACACTGTTTTGTATGAGAACGAGATGGTCGAGACGGGCATAGACTTGTCATTATAAGATGCAATACCCTGCACGAACTTTAACCAATTAATTGTACCTTACAGTACATTATACAAATTACAAGTGTACTCCCCATCAAAAAGAATTTCGCGTGAACTGACTATTTACTTGTGACCTGGTTGTGACAGTGACGTCGGGTTCAAACAACCTGGGTTAATTTACTCACACTGTCTGTATGGACATACTTACACCAACCCGAAGGATTAGGATTTAGTTAGTGACCAAACATGAACACTATCGTCAAAAGCATGCATCTATCACCAAGGCACATAGATAATCGAGTCTTGATCGATAAGACAAATAATGATAGCATTAGGGACGACCCAAGCCATCGGGATACGATACCACGATACTCTATTGACCTGCAATTGTTTCCTGTTTCGTTAATTTATCACGACACCACACTCCAGAAAGCAGGAAACCAAAATCCCCGTTTTTCTAGCGGGACTCATTTGTATTTATTTCCCTGTGGAGTTTGACGGACATACTGCGTTTGTAGCCCAAACAAGGAAATAAATTGTTATATTTGACATTCTGGAATATGAGCTCTCTTGTACTGACACTTGAAACGCCCTATTGTTTTCACGTAGCATATTGTTAGATATATTCCAAGTAGACTTAACTTGAATCAATTCACTTAAATCATTATTTATTTATTGCATTCTCAACTGTTCTGCACTGGTTAACCATTGTATCAAACAGTGTGACAAATGATCTCTATTTCAAAACAAGACAGGCTATATAGCTACTTGCAAACCAAGCAGGAAACGTAAGAAACATAAACTCATGTATGACATTGTTCTCGTATATACAGTTAGTCTTCTCTTCGTTATCCATCGACTTTACACACATCAGACAACACTTCTATAGTACTGTTTATACCTTATCTGAACTTTTTCGAAACAGTTTCTAACAACCAGAATTTAGCATTTTGATATAATTCACTTTCTGTGAAGAATATAGATCTTAATTTGAACCGTCAGTTTATTCCCTTTGAATTTGATACTTGAGTTGGCATTTTCACTTGAATTGTTTTTGTTTACATGTATGGTAAGACTGGAGACTGCACAGCTGCATCACTCACTCACATACTCACTCGTAATCCACAGGAGGATGTAGTCCATAATCTAATCGTGGTGAATCCTCTGTGTGTGTGTGTGTTTGTGTGCGTGTGTGTGTGTGCGTGTGCGTGTGCGTGTGCGTGTTTGTGTGTGTGTTTGTGTGTGCGTGCGTGCGTGCGTGCGTGCGTGCGTGCGTGCGTGCGTGTGTGTGTGTGTGTGTGTGTGTGTGTGTGTGTGTGTGTGTGTGTCTGCTTATACTAGTACGGACTAATGCCGATTTTATAGAGCTAGCCCATTTAGATACCATGCTGCAGTTTAACATGAATACCCCACTTAGACACAGTATACTGACTCCGAGCCGACACGTCATTGTTTTCGCCCCTTAATGACGAGCGCCAAGTAGGGTAACAACAAGTAGCATTTTAAACGTTGTTTTTTATGACGTGGCCGGGGATCGAACCCACGGCTTTTCGCTGTCCGGACACGAAGACCACGAAGGCGGTCTGTCATACAAAAAGCGTTATACTTGGCATACTATACATCGAATAGTCGGATAAACATGGAGTCATATTTGAACTGGGTAACTATAAACCTTTGATCGTAGGTTCGAATCCAGGTTTCAAGCCGATGATGTTTCTAGGTTTGTCAGCACCATACCCGTGCTCGTGGGTTTAACCAAAGTGGTAAACGTCTGAGACCTGCATCACTTCAGGCTTTCCTCCCACATGAAGCTGACACGCCGTGATATAACCGGAATACTGTTCAAAGGGGCGTTAAATCCAACTCACTATCTCATATTTGAACTGATTGTTCACATGCGAATACCTTAAGAAGACAGCATTAAATTTGGATTCCAGCTTCTTTTATTATTTCAAAGCGACTTTCACTGCATTGTGTCACTGGTTTATCTGGTCCAGACTCGAATATTGAAAGGTCACCTTCATACAGTTTGAGGCGCGGTCGGGTAGCCTAGTGGTTAAAGCGTTCGCTCGTCACGCCGAAGACCCGGGTTCGATTCCCGACATGGGTACAATGTGTGAAGCCCATTTCTGGTGTCCCCCGCAGTGATATTGCTGGAATATTGCTAAAAGCGGCGTAAAACCATACTCACTCACTCACTCATACAGTTTGAAACTTTCTACCTACGACTTACAACAGCAAACAAATTGTATGTTTTCAAATATTGCCTTGGCATAAAGCTGTTTTGTACTTTTGTAATGACATATACGTATTTTTCAAATATTTCCATTGCATAGCTGTTCTGTACTTTTAATGAACATCTAAGGAGGACGTTAAGTTATGATGTTGTGTAAGTATTCCTGAAACATATTTATAAAATAAATTATGTTTCTACATTTTTTAAGTGAATGTGTGCGTCTGATTTGTCAGTATAAAGTGAAGGGGCGTTTTATTATACCCTACGGTATGGATCGTTGCTCACAATATCGATTTCTGGAATGTCTGTCCAGAATCAATTATTTACAGGCCGCTGTCATATAGCTGGAATATTACTGATTGCGGCGTTTAACAAACAAACAATCAAACAAAAACTCCACCCTTCCTTCCTTGTTAAAGTACAAGACAGGGAAAAGTTATTGTCAAAGGGAATTTGTGAATGTATAAACAGTAAACCAACATAAAAATATTTGTAAAAAGTGACGATACATGTCAGGTCGGAGACCAGGACCCCGTCCCACAAAGCGGTCTTAGTTTTGCAGCTGATCTAAGTCAAATTTAAAGTATGGGAGTTGCAACAGTGGTAGCGTTAAGATTTGCTTTGTTGAACGGGGCGAATGTAACATATTGTGTTCAGGCTATGCAAATGGCTTGGTGTGGGTAAAATACTCACGGACGCATCTTATTTTCAAGTTTCGAGAGTCATATAGCCATTATTAAATATTTCCGAATTCAGCGTTAAGCTATTGATATGAAAACCTAACTGTGAAACTATGTATGGTTTGCTACTGATATACAGCTTCCTGCCATCAACCTTCCTGTAGATCACCTCCATTATGGCCCCTCGGATGTATTTTTGATTATATATCAATTGCGGAGTTCTGTCAGTGATGAGGGACAAGACTGTATAAATAAGTTCGCTTGAGCAGTCTATTATTAACATGTGACATGTAAAATACATTTCTGTCCACAAAACTCATATTTACGTTCAGATAGACATATGTTTATTTGTTTATTCTTTAACGTCGCACGTAGCGATATTCCAGCTATATGACGGCGGTCCGTAAATAATCGAGTCCAGTGATTGATGTCAGTAGCATCGATCTACTCAATTGGGATACGATGACATGCATCAACCAAGTCAGCAAGCCTGACCAACCGATCCCGTTAGTCGCCTCTTACGACAAGCATGGGTTGATGAAGACCAATTCTAACCCGGATCGGGGCGGTCGGGTAGCCTAGTGGTTAAAGCGTTCGCTCGTCACGTCGAAGATCCGGGTTACATGGGTACAATGTGTGAAGCCCATTTCTGGTGTCCCCCGCCGTGATATTGCTGGAATATTGCTAAAAGCGGCGTAAAACCATATTCACTCACTCTAACCCGGATCTTCACGGGTAAGATAGGCGTATGGGGCCTTGATGAAATATAAGTTTCAGACAGAAGTACTTGCGTAAGGTCAGCGTCCGTAGATACAGAAAATACCAAGACAAGCACAGACACACACAAACGCCGCCATCACAAACACACGCACACACACGCATATACACACACGCGCACAAACACACATAGACTCACACATATGCATTTACACATGCGCGCGCACAAACACTCATACACACACGCATACACACATACACACACGCATACACACAAACACACATACACACACGCATACACACACATACAGTTATCTAGTATGCATGTCTATCTATGTCGGACAGTTTTGAAACAATGCACCAGCATACAGAGCCTCGGTGTCACTTGTGTCCTGTGTCTGTTTCCGGGCGTGGTTTCAATTGTCTGCTTTAAAACCTCATCAAATTATCTTTCGGTTGATATTCTAGACCTCGAAAATAGATCATATGCGAGGCGTGCATAAAGGGAAGTTGAAAAGTGTCACTTGAGGTATAATGCGTCAAAGCAGGTCCATTGTTAAACCGGAAACTATAATATCATTTTGCCCGAAGCAACAACGTATATAATATGTTCACTACCCTAGCTACTGCGCATGACAACACTGTTGCCTGTTTCATATACTCTCCACAAAAAGTAGGGGAACGTGAAATATGAATGGTATGATCGGTTGTCAGAGTGAGTGAGTGAGTGAGTTGGGTTTAACGCCGCTTTTAACAGTATTCCAGTTATATCGCGGCGCGTCAGCTTAATGTGGGAGGAAAGCCCGAAGTGATGCAGGTCTCAGACGTTTACCACTTCGGTGAAACCC